GACAGCTTATGCAGATTGATAACCAACTGACCACGTTCAGTTAAGACTTCCCTGTGTCAGTTAACAGAGTAAACAGATTTATGAAAATTCCTCGCTTTAGATTTTTAAATGTGCTCTCAATTTACTAAAAGCCACAGTTTTTAATAGAATTAAAAAAAATCCCATTCGATATATTATGGTCATAGGTGCAGTCGTCCTGTTGAATCGGTGCGTGTGTCCATCGAACAAAATATTTGATTTCAGAGTAGAATTTTAATTTATCAATTTTTGTGATAATATACAATTATGTTAAATTATTGATACAATTTTTTGCCGTTTTTGCCGTTATAGTTCATGCATAATGAACGTCTTTTGAATTGGATTGAGTGGCGTACGGCAAGGTCTTGAAGTTATGTCGTGCATCTCTAGGTTCAGATTAGTTTCTCTCTTACCCTTACAGTGCGTCTATGTTCATTGAGTTAGTATTTATTTCTGAATAATATAAGATTCAATTGCATATAATGTATGAGTTGAGTGAAAGTGATACTTGCTTTCAAGTGAATGCCTTTAGTCGTTACGGTTAACTCCTTTAAATCTTAAAGTACGTCGTTGTTCACCGTTGCATTGATGCAATAACGTGACAGCTATACCCCAATCATTAATTGCGAGTACATTGAGGTAGAATTCAATGGAATTCTCCGTACTTGTGCCTCTCTCACATAATTAATAAACTCTATCTCCTCACCTCTCTTGTATTTCTACCACGCCATAAGTCCAAGCTACAACGTTTCTATGTTCGAACCTGCCTGTAGATGCATATTTCTTCCAGCCCAAGGAAATTGGTGAATTCAACATTATTGTCCACACAACTGGGATTTAATTTCGTTTTTCCACATTCATGTACAGTTCCAGATTCTTCTCTTCAAAAGAAATGTAACATCTGATTTCTTGAGTTTGATTGCTCGGAAATATTGAATGCTGCCAACTCGCCACGTAGCTTTTCGTAATAACGGTGGGATTACGAACATTGGCAATGAACACTGTGATGAGGTTAGGGAAAAATATTCCCACATGTTGGATGTTATTTGCTTTCAAACACGACACTGTTCAATGCCATGCCTGATTTCCCTGTGGTACGTAAACCTTGCAGCATGGAAGCGGGACCTTGAGATGAACGTCATTGCCACGTATGTAGATAGAAATCGTACGCCACTGCAACAATAGGAACTACGCAATACTGCAGTGATCGAAACCACGCGTTACTGTCCTTCAATCGTAACCACTTGCCGATGCAGTGATGGGAGCAACACGATCGATGCTGCAATGATCGGAACAACCCACCATCTGCAACGATCTGAACTAGTTACATGATCGGCAGGCGACCCGGAATCGTCAGCCACTGCAACAATAGGAACTACGCAATACTGCAATGATCGAAACCACGCGTTACTGTCCTTCAATCGTAACCACTTGCCGATGCAGTTATGGGAGCAACACGATGCTGCAATGATCGCAACAACCCACCATCTGCAACGATCTGAACTAGTTACTTGACTTACATCTTCGGGTCGCCTGCCGAAGACCACCACTGCCCTGGATGTAATGGACCATCATGATTCCTGCCTTCCGGAACGTAGCCTTCAACACTTCAAGCCGTCCGTAACTAGGCCGTGGGTCGAACAAGCCCTCGGTCGAACGGCCACTTGTCGAAGGACGATAAATTTTGTAACAGAACTATACTATCTGAAACCTAACCTCAGATGCGGTGAACGTAAAATTACGCCATTTAACGAAGCCCGGAAGTCAGATTCGATCCGCCGCCTGGTGGTGCACGGCAGGTTCTATGTGAGGCCGGAGGAAGACAAAGCCGAGTGGTTCACGGCTGATTGGTGGATGTCCGGAGAGATCCAAGGCGTTCGATTCAGGGCTTATTGGTGCACGAAATTGGTGGTGCACGGCTGAACTCCCACATCTTCATCTGATCTGCCTGGAAATTATATCCAGGCAATTATATCAATGAATCGTACAATTTTTTTGTTTAATAAACTACTGTTCCTGTGCCAGTTCAAATGGCTCTTTATGAAGTAATGATTCGTTTGCTTCTCTCACATAGGCTTTCTAATTTGATTTGAGAATATCAGGATTTGAAACATGTGTGTTGCATTAAAATTCCTAAGAAAATTTCGGGTAATTGAATACATTTCGGGTGGTTAATTGGCATGATCCTTTGATGCTCTAATATTGGCACGAGGAACATCTTCTGTTTAATGCTGAAATGTTTTGAAACTAAATTGTTTGATACTCGTCCAACTAAGGAGTGTAAAATTCTCCTGAAACATTCTTCTTGGAGGCCTTTGCCTTTGAAGTTTATGGGCACTAACTGTTTTACGAAGTGTGAGCTTATCGAAAAACCCATATTACAATGAATTTTCTTTGACCAGCGACTCAAAGTCGTCTTCATGGCAATGCTGAGAATAGATGCGACTTGAGTTGTATTTGCTTGAGGCGCAGTATAAATGCAGCCAATTTTCATTAATAAATGCAATATCGGGAGACTTGATAACTGTCGCAGAATTATAGACACTATATTCCTGCTCCAGTTTCATTAATTCAGATATCTAACTATACCGTTGCCTATTCTTCGTAAGAACGCAATAATTAATTTGAACGATCATTAAACTTTGCCAATTGATTTCGCTATTGTATTAAACTCTTGTTACACGTAATTTTCTGTATAATGTCTCCGTACAAACTAATAAACTTTTCTCTGATATACGCGTTGCATTCTAGTATTGTAATATATAATAATTAGTTTATCCGCACGATAGTTCCTTAAATTAAAATAGAAACAATATTCAGCGTAGATGATGCATTTTCTCGTCATTGCCCCGTTAAAAGCTCAACGTTGGAATGTTGAAATCCCGGCTTTAGATCTCCTGTACCTGGGATGCTGCTCGAGTTTTAAAGAGCCTGCAGTGCTGACTCCTAATTGATGGCTCTATGTAGACGGTTGCAGGAACTCTGCTTCACAAATCGCGCTGTTCTCATGCATACAAATTAATGTACGTTGTTTGCAGTAGCGTTGGCATGTTGTCAGGTGCGAGGTGCAAATGTGGTTTCCGTCTTGGAAAAAATATCTTCAATTGTTGGTGAGGTCCTGTGTAAAATTTAGGTACAACTAAAAACAGGAAAAACAAAGCTATCTTGGAGAGCTACAAAGCATTACTATCACTATTTTTAATGTAATAATTATACGGCTGTGAATATCGCATATTGCAGCGTAAATAAGAGTGAAATAGATATTATTTTTCACATTAGCACGCAACTATAATTTTTTATTACGAAAAAAGTGATTATTTTGGCATTCATTTTTGTCCTAGTTCTAATATGTGATTGTGTGTGTGTTTTTTTTTAATTTTTAGAAATCTCATTCATGGTCATTCCTACCTCAGGCGCTCTGTGCCTTTAGCTGAAGAATGTCAATTTCCTCGGAGTTGAGCGTTAGGAATAACATTCGTTTTTACGCAGTCGTTTTGAAATTATTTTCATCGCTGATGCTGCTCATCGAAATAATCAATTAATTAATTTGATAAATATTCATTTTCAAAATTTATGTCTGCACATCGTGAGATTTTAATCGATTTCCTAATTTGTCAGCGGTAAGGATTCAAAATGAAAATGGCTTGACGCCGGAACAGTTTAAGTCATATTAGCTCCGGTGAAAGATCAATATTTGCCAAGAAAATTAACTTGCTTTAATTTTGCAATTTTGAGTCATGTTTTCAAGGTTATTTCTGTCATGTTTTCAAGGTTATTTCTGAAGCGTTTGTTGAAACATTTCACGACTTTGCATAGTAATTTTTCGATTTGTAATTTTTATACAAATCGATGATATTGGTTGCCAAATATTTCAAGATATGAAATTGAAATTCCGAGATAATGGAAATAAATAGTTAGTTCACTACAAAAACTTTATTATAGGCGCTTAGTGTATAACATGTTCGTATAATATATGGGTGTTATTATTTCCAGTTTACTAGAGCAGTAATTTTTTTTTATTAAATGGAACAATATTATTGGCAATGCTTCTGTTTATTACCAGAGTTGATAAAATAGAATGCGTGTTAGAAATTATAACTGCCCAAAATCCTTTGAAACAGGCTACCGTAGTTTTTGTAATGCATCCTTTTATTTAATTGAAGCGATTTCATTCAGTAAGCTTTCCGCATTGCTATTAATGTTATCAACATCACCTATTTCGGCGTTTTCATTAATGCATAGACGGCGTACGTATATATTTTGCAGCCACTACATGAAAATCGTACAAATTCTGACATCGCGGTGGAATAAAAATTTCATTTCATCGAAGTATAAATACAGTTTGTTGCTTCGTTCCTAAAAGCCTCTATAGTGTAACCAGGATTTCATGCATTTTTGCCATTCTTAGAGCTTTATTTATTAATGAAATTCTTTGTCTCGTACACAGAATTTCATTAATAACTCGTACAATTTCACAACTTCTTATATGAAATTGAAATTAACAACTTGTAAAACTTCATATTTGAAACTAAGTTCTCTCTTCGTGCGAATTATGTAAAGAAAATAATCATCGATGCTCCCTCGCCTAGCGGCACTACTTAACTGGGACCTATTTGGTTAATAATGTATTTTGTCGCTTGGATCAACTTTATTGTAACAGTAATGGTGTCAGTAATGCAGTTTAGTGGTGCCCTCGTCATTATCATTATCTGGATACCGAATATGCGTATTATTCTCTGCATTATTACATCATTCCTTAGATTTTCCACTGGATGATCAGAGTTTACTGAGAGCTTGAATTGTTGTTTAAAATCAACACAATGCTGAATAAATTCCTTACTACTACAACACTTATTTTATTCTGGAATAAAAATAAAGAAAAAATTCAATGAAAATAGAAATTGTTTGCGTAAATTTTTTAGTAGGTAACTTCTTTTAGTTAGAATTTTAATTTTAGTATTGATATTGTACCTCTGCCCTAATTTTATTTTTTAATTCAAGATATAGGGGTTTTCTTATTTATTTTTTATAGTCTATCTACTTATATCTAAAATGGATAAGATAATATTAAATATAAGCAATAAATAAGATTCGTTCTTTTCTACCCCTAGTTCGTATTCTTACGATAATACGTAAATCCTGTCGTGGTTAAGTACCAATCCTCTTCTCAAACCTCGCATCATGGACTAAAATCGCTCTGGGTGCGGCTCAACATCAAACTTCTTCTTTTTCCTGCTGGGCGCGCGGATTCTCCTAGACAAGTTGTTCCTCTGCAACGGTCCTGATTTGCATAGCGTGTGGCGACGTCGTGAGACAAGCTCCGCGGCCGAGATTTTGCGTCCTCCTGAGGATGGGCCGAGGCATCTGAACTTCACGGATAGTCTGCTGTTGCCGTTACCTTCTTTGACGTCGAGACGGTCCAGGAGGTTTTCCAAGATGCATGTTGAGATCTGCACGCTGTATTGGTTGGATCGAAGTTTGTTCAAGCAGCACACGAACCACGAAGTTGACTTGTCTGTCGTATACCGCGTCAACGAAGGCTTGCGGATCGCTGATTCGCTCAACTTTACGACGATCTTGGGATGGCGTTGGTCCGTGCGTGGCCACAAGCGGAACTGCGAAAAATTTGAGAAATCATGAGAAAAACTTCTTTTTTGCTGCTCTGAAACTTTTGAAAGCAAAGTACGAGTTTTGAGTGGAGAATAGCATTTACTGTACTTTTTATGGTCCAAACTTGGTCAGCCAAGGATGGATCTTCCGCGGTTCAGAAAAGTGGCCTGTATTATTATAAATTCTCATTAACTGTTGATATTTTTTAAGGTGTTGGAACCATTTGACTTCATTACCTAGGTAGGTAATAAAAATCAGCGCCACCGTAAGTTTCGTTAGCCGAACTTTTCTTCACTCAGTTTATTTTTTCCATGGGGTTTTGGAGAAGGAAATTTGGTCATTAGGCAAGACCAGATTTGGTCTCTGAAGCGGTATGTTACTTGTAAAGAAAAATATGTTTAATGGTGAGAAAATATCTTTCTTATAATGAATTGATGATGAGTAACAAAAGCTAGTGTGTACTTTTTTGTACTTTTTCCAGTGCACTCTACTATCGTACATTGAACGCAGAAATTTTTTCTCATGTGACATATCTCCGACTTTCACTTCAATGGCACGGTCGTTCTTTAGGAAGGAAGACAACAATATCAGTGCTGCTGGGAGAAAATTCAATTTCATGTGAAGGTTATGAGGTTATCAGACTATTTGAACCCTAAAAGAAACCAATATTGTGCTTGGTGAGCCATTTTTATTTGCAATATAGCCTTGCCGTAGCTTAGTGTTAGGCTACAACTTTTTCAATCGTAACCTAATTATCCGGTCACACGACAATCCTAACGCTCGACCGTAACGGTTATTTTCTACTAGATTACATTACAAAACTTTTTGTTCTGAGCTTTTTTGTGTTAGGAAAAGACCTTTTGTTGCGATGTGGATTGCACCAAACTTTGTGTGGGCTTGTGAGAACGGAAATTTTGTTCGGGCATATGTAATGAGGGACCGCATAGGCCTGGCGATGCCATTTAGATAGTCGAAAAAAACGGCCAAAGGTAATCTGTTCTAACCCCAGTAATACGTTCCGTTAGCTTCCGTTGGATTGCCAACTTTTTCTTGAGAAGATTCAGGTTTTCAAGTCTCTTTTCCTTTCGTGCATGGTTGTTTAAGTGACTCTCTATAAATCAAAAGATTATGTCTCGATTTGAAGTTTTTGCATTACACATCTTTCGCGATTGAATGCAGTGAATACATTGAGTAATTATCATTCAGGTGTGATTTATCTTTGAAATTACCCCAGTGGTTTAGAAACTTTTAATTGTTCCAGTTTTCTTCGATTATGGCGTAAGACTCCCATTTTGACTCCTGCTTCGTCGTTGACCCCTACGATTAATATAGACCGCGTTACAACAATTTTCGTGTTATTCTAGGCACCGAAACGTTTCATATTTTACCAGTCGCTTTTATACTGATATCAATAGGATTGAGTTCGCTTTGCCGCTTTGAATTGATTAATCGTTGCTGCCGGCAATCTTAATTAATAAATTGAAGTTATTTTAAAACTTTTGTGATTGATAAAAATGTTATTTCGAAATAAGAAATCTTGAAATAAAACTTTAGTTCTATTCGAGTGAATTTCTTTTGAGATTCGTAAGGTTTCTCATTGGAAAAGTTCATCTTTGATCTCGTGTTCCATCACAGCTCTGAAATCGGTCAAATTTGCATACCTTTAATTGTATTATCGTATTCCAGTAGGCAGTTATGAGTCTAGTTAAAATAACATTAAGGTATCATTTGGTGGACGGAGATTTAACTAGCTTCTTCTCTTTTAGAACCACAGTAAATTAAAAGAAATGGAGTTCTGGGGTCGATTTTCTTATTCTTTATATAGATTGTAGCGCTTATATGACCATCCGCACGCATGTTATTCCAGGGCTTGCACTTCGTATGGTTGTGTCCAGGAGAGAATTTTTCGCTCGCCTTTATAACCCTTCAGCGGGAAACTTGTCACATTTGGGGTTGCCTTTAGCGGGAAAGTTACCTTAACCTCCGCCCAAAGCGACCCACCACGTCCAGGGTTTGTTTTCTACGCTACGTTATCCTTCGCTGTCAATCAACCATAACGTTCCCATAGTTCCATGCATTGCAGCACCTCGTATATATGCTTAGAATAAAAAGAAGAGTAATTGAAGTTAAAGGCCTAGACGTTAAAACAACGCTTTCTCCGCAATCCCGCGTAAGAAACAATATCTCTTGAATTGATATAATTAACTGGAATTAGAATGAGGGTAGACAATTTTCCCCATTATGATTGGATGTTCAATTTCACATATCGTATAACTGTAAAGCGTTTCTACCGGATTTAAAAATTATATAACTGCGATTTGAGCCTTCAATATATGTAAAATTCAGAAGAATGATCAGTAGTAAATATTTTACAGAACTGGCCATATATGAATGCATTAGCTTCGGAAATTTATATGTCTGCCAGCCGAAAGGAGGAGATTGGCAAGAGATTGAATCTACGCATAAAAAAGTCAAGTTTTAGTGCTCACGTTCTAGCTTACAATCACATTTGGCGTTCACAGTTTTCACTGTCTAGGCGGATGCATTCCTTCTCTAGAATCTTGATATATGCATTTATCAACTATAGTTCTTCTGCAGAAATAATTATTCATGTCAAAGCTTCCTTGCTTGTACCACCATTATTGGTACAAGCCTGAGAAAATAAGTATAATATCTGAATATAACCAGGAATTTAAAAACAAAGAAAATACCACAAAAATTCACCATATCTTTAAAAGAGAAAACGTTTCGGAGTCCAGCTCCATCGTCAGTTCAAAACACAAAAATTCTGGTCAAAAAAGTTCAGTCCTAGAAGCGAATATAACGTACATTGCTAGTAGCTCACCTGAATATTCTGCGTAGGCAAGTAGCAGATCTGGGCGAGATATCTGAGCACCGGACAGTCCCACAACTGCTCGATGCTCACGATCGCTTCCACCATACTGCCGATTTTAAATGTAGATCACGATTTGTAACTAGCGTTAACATTATAAAATCCGTAAAAATATTATTTTCAATGTGCTTAAAACGAGGGTCTCCAGTTTATTATTATATTGTGATGAGAGTTGTGCTGGTATCGTCTACATCTCATTACAGGGCGTGAACAATTTTTAAAAGTCGAAGCTGAAAGTCGAATTAACTAAACATATCTGCATGCGCATTTTACAGGGTATTTAAATGCTACTAATATCTAATAAAGTTACCAAAAATACTGATAATACCTTTTGTTGTCATTTATATGATCCAATTGATGAACTACTCTCGTTTGAAATTTTTCTATTTTAGCAGTGAATATATTCATTTTATTTGGACTTTGTATGCAAAAAGTCGTTCATATTTTAGTGTTTTTATATTACCTCATGACTTATTATTTTAAAGTTTTATTATTTTAAAGTTTAGTGACGTGACGTCATAATTTTATCTTCGCTATGATCTTAGTTATCAATAAATGAAACCAACCTGGCGAGTCGCATTAGGTGGGCAATAGAGCGTAGTCCATTGATGTCGGAGACTGCGAGAGCAACAAGCAGGTTAGCGAGGATGATGGATATAAGCAAGATGAAGAGTATGAGTATAATGTGCGAGGTGACAGGGAGTCGCTCCAAGCTGTCCTTCATATCTGACAGGTCTAGTTCACCCACCATCATCGTCAAGCTCTTGAGGAACGTGAGGCCGAAGTTACCGAATATCGTGGTTTTGTCCAAGTCGTGTAGCGCGAGGTAGAAGGTGGTTGTGAAGGTGAGTAGTAGGCATAAGTAAATGAAGAAGACCCGCAGGAACATCTCTGCCACTCTGATGAACATGAGCCAATAAATGCCGTAGGAAGGAAACTTGCTGAGTAAGTGCAGGATCTGAGTTCCTTCGAGCATGATGATGAATGTTGCGACGTGATGCTCCCACCACATACTCTCTTGTGGACTCGCCCATGATTGGACGATGATGACGGTGCAGAGTATGATGATGGTCAGCAAGAGCCACCATGTCAGCGACTTCATGCAACTCATCGCATTCTTGCGCAGCCGGTTGACTTGGCCTACAGTGAAGATCAACATTTGAAAGATCATCGTTATCTTCACTCCGAGCACATCATCGATGGTCTCACATTTGAGGGGCAGTTTGAGGTCGTTTGCTGTAAAGTTGTTGGTTCTTCGGCTGTTTGCTCTTTGGTTGTAGGCTGTATGGTTGTTCAGTGTACACTTTGACCAAATAAAGCGGTCGAACATAAGTGTGTAAGTCAGGGCTGCAAACACAGTAAAAAATAATAAGTAGCCCATGAAAATTAATCTTGTTTTCCTCCACTTGACCAGAAGCAGTATATGCACAAGTGGATGAGCCAGCAGATAATTGGAGTCGGTCTTTGCAAAGTTCTCAAGCAGCCGACATTGCTGTATCCCGTACGGCGCAACTAACAGAGAAAAGTCGAAAGTCAAAGGGAAGCCAGACTGCCGGTTAGGGCTTGTGATGATGCCCATATCGAGCAAAGTTTCCAAATACTCAGGGTGTTCCCTCAAGTATCTTTTGGGCGTGACGCCTCTGTCGTCTTTTTGAAGTAGATCTGCACCGGCCTTCATAAGCACCGCGGCGCATTCCACCGAACCCGCCTTGGTTGCTTTATGTAGGGCCGTCTGGCCGTTGGAATCTGTAACAGTGCAGTTGGAGCCATACTCGAGCAGGACCTCCACTGCCCGTCGGGACCCCATTGTGGCCGCGTCATGGAGTGCCGTCACTCCTCGAAGGTCTTGAGCGTCAATCAAATTTACGTTCCCTCTCTTCAAGAGTTCTTCGAGTATTACATATTTACCTCGCGCTGCTGCGTAATGGAGCGGAGTTTGGCCGTATTGATTACGCGAAGTCACCGATGCTCCTTTTTCTACGAGCATGAGAACGCCTTCGAGCCAGCCGTTTTCAACGGCGCAGTGCAGAGGCGTCATGTGGAACATACCGCCGTGGCAGTTTGCGAACTCCGGCCTATTGTCCAGAAGTGTGTGCAGCACTTCCAGGCTTTGCGTGTCCACCGCTCGAAAGATGATCACCGCGTCTGGAATTTCGCTCCTGCGCGAGCCTCCAGCGCCTGAAAAAGTAATTAAAGCATTCATACTCTGCAAAAGCTCATCCAAATAATTCTGAAGCTGATTGAAAATTAATTTGAGGTTAAATTTAAGGAACAGTTATATTATATTCTTTCTTTTGACACGTAGTGCTCAATGCTCATCAAAGCTGTGGCAACGATAATTTTTAACATATGTGCATGTGCATAGACTCATAGAGGAACTATTTTCGGTGATTTGAGTGCTTTGAATTAATTATGAGCACTTGGTTATGTCCATTTGTTAACTTGTTGTCTTATTGCCCCTAAAGAAAATTTTCCTGTGCTTGAAATATGTTTCCGGTGAATTTATTTTAATGGGGGTTAGATTTTACTTGCACTGGAATATTTGGAAAAGTCGCAGTTAAAACTGAAATTAAACAAAACTTCGAAAACCGAGTCTCACGTACTGAGTTTACATCAGAACCTAATTAAATCAATTTGCTGTCAATATATCGCTTATACTATATAAATTGCTCCACCATTTGGCCTTCGTACATTATATCTTGAAATATATACGATTTGCAATTATTTATGCTTCAGTTTAAACTTGCATGATTATCTTTAAACGTTCTCTCTCTCTATCATCCAAGGGTTAATCTCACTCTTTAATTATTTAGGCCATTTTTTACGCCATCGCTTCCCTGAAATATAATTAATTTAAAAGTTTGTGTTAAACCAAAAAAAAAGTAATAATATTGCACTAAAGTCGCGGGCTTCAAGGATTCACCAATAAGTCTACTTTTACTCCTTTACATTGAACAGTTTCCCAATGTTTCCCTTCCTAATCTAGTAGTAGGAATCAACTCGAGCGTTTCAGGTGTTTGAACCTGATGCAAAAAATACTTGTTGTTTTAGCGTTCATAAACGTTTTCATTTATCGCTCTCGTGCATGACACGATAACACTTGAATTTGCTATAGCATATTGCCTCTTTCTGCTGCGTTATTAGAGGAGTAAGACGGTCATGTCTGACTAATGCACGTCTCACTTTGTTTGGTTCACAAGAAAGAGGAGTCTTATCGTCATGCTGTAATTCAGAGCCTGAGCATACCAAGTGCCGTCTTTGTACAATGTACATACTACATACACTGCCAAGATTGATATTCTTCACTGAAGGCACTTTGTCGTGGACAGTATTAAAAAAGTTACCGATGGCCAAAGTCGCTATAATAGGTTTGTGCCGAGCTTAGAGCTATTAGAGTTCCTGCAACATTAGCGATGTCGCTGATGTTATGAAGGCTAACAAATAATTTGACAGACATTGAATCTACTAATTGACGACTGTATAATTTGTTTGGATAAGTTGTAGCTAGTGTTTTTGGAATCTTACGGTATATGGCATGTTTAACTCTCAACATAAATTTTTGTTCAAACTTCTAAATGACATGATACCTGTTTAACTGAATTATGTAGAATTATTATATTCCTCGAATTTGTTTCAGTTCATTTCTCCTCACGTTCACCGGGATGGTTGGAGTCTTTCCTTAAGGAAAGAGTTTACCAAAGTTGAATAGAATTGTACCGGCATTCAGTTGAGGTCCTGGCCCTGCAGCACTCCTAATGTGTTTGTTTGGCCAGGCGAGGCTCGCTTGAAATACAGGTAGTATTTTACTATTTTCAGCTAGTGAGAACACAATTATTTTTACAACGAGGTACGAGGTTTTTACTACATGTAACTTTAAATATACCTGTCTCTTGCCTGGGTGGCCTTAGACTAGATATTTCATTCAGTCTCGCCTGTAAAGCCAAAGGCCTAAATAATCCTCGGCCTCGCCTTTTAAGCTTATAAGGCCCTAATAGTCCTCGTTCTCGCCTGTAAAGCTTAAGACTTATTATAGTCCTCGGTCTCGGCTGTAATGCTTAAGGCTTAAATAATACTCGGTCTAGCCTGTAAAGCTTGAGGCCTAAATAATATTCGGTCTCGCATGTAAAGATTTTGATACATTTTCTTCCGATCCTGCGACCATATACGTAGCTTCTTAGAATGAATATTTTCCCTGATCTCGCCTATCAAACATCTTATTTGAATACTAGCTTTCGTTGGTCTTAATATTTATTTCCTGCATCATTTCGTATCCCAGTGTGACGGTTATAATACGTGGGCATATTTTCATCCTATTCTTCGTTATGTTATGAGGTACGCCGCAGACTTGTTATTGAAGAGACATCAAGGGCTTAGCTCACGAGTATTTTTATGTTTTCCGAGCAGAAGTTTAAACATGGTAACAATTTCTAGAGTTAAAGTATCACCGCGCTGCGTTACTCTTGCTCAAAGTATGGAGTGTGTTTTGAGCTAACAAAATCTGCCTCCTTGTTTGCGCTCAGAACTTAGTTCCGAGCTCCAGAACTTTTAGGAGCCTCGAGTTAATTTTTGTATCTTTATTTTGGCCCGATCTCCTGAATAGTTGATGGTTGCATTTAGCTGCTCTCTACCGCCGTGATTGCTGCCTCTCGGGCTGCGATATCAAATGTATGAAGTGGTCGGCTTAACAGTGAATAATTTTGCGTGGTTAAAGCATGTGATTCAACATGAGAGAGAAACGCGCACCGAAAACGAATTAATTGAAGTCTGCAATTCAAGAAATAAATAAGTAGTTGGCATGCACGTCGCTGAAGGCACTCACCCGTCAGCCCCTCACTGAAGGCACTCTCCCGACAGCCCCTCACTGAAGGCACTTACCCGACAGCCCCTCACTGAAGGCACTCACCCGACAGCCCCTCACTGAAGGCACTCACCCGTCCGCCCCTCACTGAAGGCACTCACCCGTCCGCCCCTCACTGAAGGCACTCACCCGTCAGCCCCTCACTGAAGGCACTCACCCGTCAGCCCCTCACTGAAGGCACTCACCCGACAGCCCCTCACTGAAGTCCCCGTCGACCCAGGTTTGCCGGGTGGTCGCAGAAGTTTCCTCGACCTCTGAGATGAAGGCAAACTGTGGCGGCGTGACTGTGCTCTTCTTGCGCCGCGCGGGGCTCTTGTACGGCAGCTCCATCCTCTGCCCGCGCGTATAGTCAAGGAGCTCGATCAATACAAAGAAAAATCTGTTTGTTATTCGTCTTCAAATTCTATTTAAGTTGAATTTTTCCGGAGATGAAATTTTTTTAGATTCGTCTTCAAATTCTATTTAAGTGAAAGTTGTCTGGAGATGAATTTTTTTTTTTAGATTTGTCTTCAAATTCTATTTAAGTGAAAGTTGTCCGGAGATGAATTTTTTTCAGATTCGTCTTCAAATTCTATGTAAGTTGAAGTTGTCTGGATATGAATTTTTTTTTCAGCAAATCATTGACACGTTTGATTTACTGCCGATAAGTTTTTAAACTCAATCGTTATTTTGCATTATACGCGCTTTTAGAAAGAAAGTCCCAATTTGTCTATTAATTATTTGTTCTTAACTGTGCCTACTATAGTTATCAACCATGGATTAGAATCGTACTTTCAAATTCCCAATTATTTTCTCTAGAATCAATTAATTCTGCAACGAATTAATTAAATTTATTAAATTTTTTACGTATAATATGTAGAATATATTCAAAATTTATTATCACCCATACAATTTATTCTATCACGTCATATTCGCACCTATTCACGCAATGATTTTTTATTATTCGTCATGAAAATCACGAAAGTTTGTTGTCAATCACACATAAATAAAAATTGTCAATATTCCATAAAATATATACCTCCTTTTGTGTATTATACTTGATTAGTCGAGTTACCTGACAATAGTCAAATAATTTGGAAGCGAGTCAATTTTTGCTTTCTTGTCTCGGTGATGCGGTGTCCAAGCCGACGTTTGCGTTATTATACTTGTACTATCATTGTTCATTAAAAAATTTATTGATTGTCTTTCTTTTAACATGTGATATGCAGTTAACGTGTCCTAGTGACTTCACAAAGTATCTAAATCTTTCACCTAACCGAATATAACTCGACGCAATCCACCAGAGTGCCACTTGATACACTTGATCAATTGCCGATGCAGATCACCAAGCTCGAGTGCCCTCGACAATGACAAAGCTCGCACCTCGCCAGCGACTTCTGTCTTCTGTAGTCACTACGTCTATGTCTACCTATGTCTTCTGTAATCACTACGTCTATGTCTACCTATATCTTCTGAAGTCACTACGTCTACGTCTATGTCCTCTGTAGTCACTATACGTGATGGCCGCGCTTGAGCTGCAGGACGAGTGTCATGGGACGCTTATCAAGCGCGGGATATCCGTTCTTTCGCGCTGCAGCTCGGGGTTTCTCGCGTAAACCCAGACGTTGTCGGCTGTATTGTTTCTCTCAAAACTTGATTTAAGGCTTCTATTCGGTTCAAGCTAGCTGTTCTTCTGCATTAATTTTGTTCGTTTTGTTCTGTAATAGTATTTTAATTTCGTGTATTCTAAGAAAATAACTTGCCTGTTTTCATATTATTTGGGTGATTTCAAATAGGTTTGATAGTTTACTTGTATGTTTCGAGATTTTCTAGAGTTTTGTATTCATTACTAAAACTCAATTATTGGAAGACGCTCTTCGTGGTATTATCTCTGGCGGAGTCTTGTTTCACTTTTGTTTCTTACAGCTTCATCAATGATTTAAATAATTTATTAATAATCGTAGAGCTTGTTTCATTAATTTGTTAATGAAAACACTAAACCAATGTTAGATAAACTCTTGCAACATTTTTGTGCCTGTATCCAAGGTGTAAGGGAACTAATTATTTTGCTAATTGTCTCGTTCATTTAACCACGTGCGTGTTTTTAGCTTCTATTGCAGATTTGTGTGAGCTCCTGACATGTTTACCTTGAACTATTATCAATGCTTAATGAATTTGATACTGAGAAGTCTAATCAATGTCTGTATCTTACATCCAACATTTTTAAGAGTTCCATTGTTGACAGATGAGCAAAGGCAAAGAGTACTCGTGCAATGCGCTGATGACCAATTTTGTTTTTGAATTAATTGTAAAAGTTAGTGCTTGAAATGTAACCGTCACAGAAATTAATTAAAAAAATTACAGTATTGATATGTTAGCGAAGACGTTATCATGATTATACTGTGGATGGTAATGATGAGTTGTTTTATAAAAATACTTATATCATTACTGATGCGAATACCATAAAAAATTCACATAAATATTGATGCGTGTATTAAACAAAGAATTTACAGCAGTACAGATGGGACGACTCATTACTTGACAGGGCAATTGTCAATTATTCGGTGCCGAGCGCGCTTCCTTATCCGCTGGAAACAATTAGTAAAAGTGAGCGTTATAACTTCCCTTTGCATTTCTTTCATATTGGTGATATTTTGTTAATTTAAAATTCCACTTTTATTCTTTTTCGTAAAATAATTAATGCTCTGTTTTTGAAGCAACTCTCTTAAAGCTAATATTTTTGAGCGATATTTGTCGGACCAATTGTCTACCACGGAAGCTACCACATTAACGCATGTTTAACTTATGGATTTTACTGTAGGACCTTCTGATGCATTAATCTCAGGTGATAACAGATACCAAAATATTTTATTCATTTTATGTAAATGTAACTAACTACCTCAAGATAAATAATATATTTATATCGCGATACGTAAGATGTTGAGCGTTTCGATAGCGCGTTGCGGCTTTCAATATTTTTTAAGCGTCTTGTTATTTGTTACACGATAAAGTTTTGAAGACATTTGTCGATTGCACAACTGTAAAGCTTGTGAAGCATTGCAAAATGTTCGATTTCCTATCAGACTTTATGATAGTGGCAAACAAACTAGCGCTCCACGCTATAACTAGTGAGACCCAGTCTGCAATCGAGAGCACGCAGCCATGTGGGTCGCTCGATGCTTGCGAATTTCCTGACTTAATCATCTTGTACATTTAGAAGCATGTACAGATCTTATACAGATTACTTTGGTCCGACTAAAACTACTTATACTTTATTCACAGAGCGGCGTGTAAAAAAAATAAATCTTTAATTCGGACGATAATTTACACGTTGAGCATTAGTGTATGCTAGGACTTGGAAGTCAGGGACTCAAGCGCCTCATCATGTCTGCAGGCTATGGCATACTTTGTTATGTTCCTCACTCGATGGGATTGTAAGTATCGTGTACTTAAGTTGCTGCGTTTTTCTGGTCATAATTGTAAAATATACGCTCTCGATTGTCTCGAATGCCTTCATCGCTATAGCGATTCACACAGGACATTTGATGTGTTACTGAACGAACTTTATAGTCATGTGTGAACATCCGTTAGTCATGAAAATTGGTATTTAATACAGCTAATAAAATTCCATTGCTTGCTTTTTGCAGGTGAGATTTGAATAAGCGAAAATCCCATTCGATGGAAATCCATCCCATTCGATGGAAATCTATCCTATTCTATGGAAATCCATCCCATTCGATGGAATCTATCCCATTCTATGGAAATCTACCCATTCCAGGGAAATCTATCCCATTCTATGGAAATCCATTTCATTCTGTGAACTTAAGCGACGAAGGGTTAGGAAATTTCCTGATTCGAACGATTTCTTAAAGATTTCCATGTGCGCTTCCAGTCCTCAAGAAATTCCTCTTTCATAAAACGTTCATATATCCTCATTTACATCCTCATTCTTGGCAGCCGACGACAATGGAGGTATAATAAAGCCTGTTGACATCAGGCACGAACGATAGTTGGCTGCTGCCTGACACTTCTCTTTATTTTACCTGCATTGTTACGGCTGTAGCCCATTTATTAGGTTTATCAATCGTAATTCTTTCGTTATTATTCTTGAAGTCATACTATGGCTGTTCGGAAATGTTCAAGATACATATGTAGTATGCCTATAAAACGCTGCCTAGAATATCGTACCTCGGAACATCGTGTGCTAGTCACGCAGCCATGTGTTTATATATATTCGTTACTGCCGCATACTGCGTGTAATATCTGTAAATAGTTTATCATTGTTCGCAAGAGCATTTGCCAAATTTGTATGGTAGTCATTTTGGCACCATGCAGCGGGGAAATGTTATATAGGTGTGCCCGTGGGCCGGAGGAAAGAAGCCCAAAATGATTGTTTCTCTGGATAGGCATTAATTTTTATAAGTCTTCTGTATTGTTAAACAGTCTGGTAACAGTCTGGTGGAGGAAGAAATTTACTTGCGATTCCATTGCGATTTCCTCGAAGCACAGAACATGTAACATTCAACGTGGCAATGCTTTGGATCGGAACAATGTGTCCGTCCCGGAGCTCGTGATGACGTTGTCCCATGATACGAGTGCAGCTGAATAATTGTCTGTTGAAGAAATTTGCTGTTTTACTCGTCAAGCATTCATGGATTATTTTGAGTTTTCTGAATTGTTCGAGACAAAATTAAGTACAAACTAGAACTATTGCTAACTCATATACTTCAAATGTTGAAACTATGTGAATATTTAAGGATTCTGTGTTATTGACAGCTATTCTCTCTGTCTGTGGATGTTGGTAGCAGTTAATTCAAAGAGCGTCTCTCCTCAAAATTATGTCCTTAACTAAATGGCCGATCTTTCTGAAACTTCTTATACGTATGTAAATCACTAAAAGAAAACATTTCGCTCATATGAATTTTTTTGGCAAATAAAAGAAAACGTAAAATGCATAGAAAACGGCAAAAAAGGGTCCTGTATCAATCTTCTTCAATTCATGTGCTACAACATCAAGAGACCTATCATTCGATTTGTAAAAAAGAGTAGCTATAGACTATAAGCCCTTTTTCGATTTTTTTGTACGACTTTTATCAGTTCTCTCCCTTATTTATATTAATATATAATTCAAACCATGTACAACTCAGAGAAAGGGCTTCTACATCAGAAATACTGGCTTCTCGAGTCGCTATAGATATGGTCTATCCGAATCGAATATGTCTCTCATTGCTGTAGCTTGAAAATCATAGGAGATTGATTTTTAGATGGCGCAGTTTGGAATTTATAATTGCTCAGGGTGAGCCAAAGAAGTAAATTGATTAAAAAAGAAGAAAATTCCTAAAAATTGCTTGATATTCTACCATTGCCACTTACTCGTATTGAGGATAGCATCACGCGTCTTTTGACTTATTTCTGTTCAGTTTAACGCGAATAATAAGCTATAAATTCGATTTTCTGATAGATTTATTCATATAAAATGATCATTTATAAAAGTTCAAAACGGCCTTAAGCAAAAATTATTGCATGCAAATCAATTGTTGGTGCTTTTTTAACGTGCCTCGATTGCAGCTTCAAAGTGAGCCCAAACACATCGCAATTAACGAAAAAATGTTCTATAAGTACTATTGTAAATAAATATTTGTAGTTTTGTTATAAAATGGTCATTTTATAAATATCCTAAACTGCCTCGTGCAAAAAATTAAAGTCTACACATAGATTAAGTAGGCTGCGATCGACGCGTCTTCTCCGTAGCTACAAAATAAACTCAAAAACAGTTCAATCTGCGCCAATAATGATCTAAAAAATCAGACTTAATTAAAGAAATCTTCATAAATGATTGTTGTCAAATGTTCATTTTATAAAAGTTCAAAACCGCCTCACTAAAAAACAATGGCAGGTATGGCCTTCAGTTTTTTTTTGCTGCAGATTTCTAATAGTTCTACGTACAAAATGAGATGAAAACACGGAAAACGTAATTTCTTTTAATTTTTAGTGTAAACGCTCCCCTTATGCTAAGCGCTTCACCCCCTATAGTTGGCACGCAAAATATCCTATGCAAATAATTACGCGTTCTTTGTGGGCGAGTCGGACCGAACCAACCGTAGAGATCATATGGTCGCACTTGCATAACTTTTCGACGATCACATGTACGACTGAGTGTTAACCAATCGAATTTTCAATGGGATGGTACATCGTTCGAGCCACACTGCCAACTGCCTTGCTCGATACTAAATATTCTGTGGAATTCCCTCGACTTTTGACCGGGATACTTGCCATGATCGTCTCTCAACATGACTGGATAATTCGCTTACGGGCTAACTTGGTTAACTGGACAAACAAATGGAACGAATAAATGAGACTATCAATGTAGAGTTTAGATACTAAAACTTGAGGAGTCTTCAGATTAAATTTCTCTAATTATTACGAGTTAATTAAAATTGTAAGATGACGATTTCAAACGGCCTAGCTCTAGTGCCACTTTCATATGCTAGCAAGTTAGTTA